TTGGAAGCCATTAAGAAAAAATGCTCTTCTTGTTTTATCCTGTTCATTTTGTATTTAAATGCTAAAAAAATAAAAATTAAAAAAACATATTTAGGTGTAATTTTGGGGGGCCGGGGACCAATTAATTGGTTTTCCATTATTTCTTATGGGAAAACTTCGATCAGAACTTGAACTTTTTAGGATTCGATCCGGAGTCCGGAACGGATTAAGTTCGAAAACCGAGGTACCATTGTAAATCCGACAAATCCTGAATCTACAGATATGAGAATGATTGATGTGGTTTACGATCAGAATAAAACTGAAAGTATGAACTAGATAACAGATATCATCGTATAGACATGATTTGTCAGTAAGCTGTTCTATGTATTTGTGAGTAAACTGACAATCCTGTGAGTCAGGTCACCAGGTATTCATCTCTCAGCTGATCTTATGTAAGAGGCAAAACCACGACCTTTACTCTCCTTTTCAGTCAGTGCTGCTAGTCATTACAGATTTCTGCTGCTGTGTTCATTTCTGCACCACACCAGTGAGTTACACGTCTGGGGGGTGAGAGTCAGCAGGTTGGAATCTAACAAAGGGAGCCCAAGCCCAAAATCTAGACCCAGCCTAGAAACCCAGTCAACTTAATGATTGCATTTGAATATGTCATTGGGTCATGATTTATGCCAGCGTTCATGTTTGAAGGTACAGTTGATGTGACAGGAAGCTGAGGAGGAAGTGAAACTGGCTGGCTGTGCTGAGAGCCGGAGCTCCACCACCTGTGGTATCTTCCACAGAAAACTAGGCTTCTGCTCACAGTTAGCAGACAGTTGCATTTTCGCATGAGTTCTACTGCATGTGTTTATGTGGGGTTTAGCACTAAAAACAGATATGATCTCATCAAAAAAAGTCTATTGTGGAAAGTCTGAGCCAGGTTTCCAGTAACATGGTGACGACTAGATTCACATTTGGCTAAAGTTAATTACATCTTCAATGTAACCTGTCTTGGCAGGGAGAATGTGTAGGTAATACTAAGGTATAATTTGTTACTTTTGAAACATCTTCCATAGAATATTACAAAAGAGATTAAGTATGATTCACATTATCGTGTCACCGGAGATTCACTTGTAAATGGTTCAATTTCTTTTGTGATTCTGTCCACTCCTTATTCTGTGGTTTTCCTGAGGTTACTAAATAAACACAGAAGCTGCAGAGAGAGCAGTTCCTTAGAAGAGTCCCTGATGTTTCACAGGAATTCTTGACCTCTTTCATAACACATTGACACAATTAATTGTGGTCTGACGACAAAGCGATTCTCTTATGGCCAGCTTCAGCACTGTTGCACATTTTGGACTTGCTGATGTCAGCACAGAGCTTCTCTACAGGAGTCAGTGGGTAGATCATGTTTTATTCAGCAAGAGTTAATCTTTGTCAAAGTCCATGTGTGCTGCTTGACGAGGTTTGATAGTTCTATGCGTCTTTTCCTAGCCAATCCAATAAATAATCCATAGTAAAATGTGCCCAATAACTGCATAATTAATTTTTAAAGAAAGAAAGCTAAAAAAAAAATGGAAAAGTTGTCAAGTTCACAATCTGAGCAAAATAGGCTCAGGGTTAGATTTCAGTTGAAAAGTGTCGTTTTCCAAAAAACTGTCCTCATATTTAATCTGTGGTCCTGGACATTGTTTTACCATCAACACTTCTACAAAAGATGATCTCAGAACAATCTACTCCCATCCATAGAGGACTTGCTGTTTGCTACAACTTCATACATTACAATCCACAAACACGGGATTTCATGTTTTTCCTTCATGATATCCTTTTAGTCTGTAAATGTCGCTCCAAACTGTGAACGACAAAAGAAGAGGAAGTCTTTGTGCTTCTATAGTAAAGGATCAACAGTCGCATTTATTTGATCCATGTGACATGTACTGCTTTTTGCACTGAGGTAAAGATCCTCCTTCCTGCACAAGATGTGCCGGGACAGGATCTTCCGGAAGGTGTTCCGGAAGTCCCGGATGCGGTAGGCGTAGATGATGGGGTTGACCACCGAGTTGGCATGGGACAGAAGAATGGCCATGTACATTAAGGTGGGCGGCTTGTGCAGGTTCTCATAGAAGAGTGTGAGACAATTGAGGATATGCACAGGCAGCCAGCAGAGGGCAAAGAGGCCTACAATGATGGACAGGGACTTGGCGGCCCGGATCTCCCTCTGCAGCAGGTTGTGGGAGTTCTCACCATTGATACACTTGAGCTCAATCTGGCGCAGCTGCTTGCGTGCCACATTGAAAATCTTGATATAAATCCCCAGCATGATGAGCAGTGGCAGCAGGACGCAGCCAAAGAAGTTGAAGTAGACCATGTAGCTCATGTCCACCACACTCTCAAAGTAGCACGTGAGCGGGCAGCTCTGCAGGATGGCACTGTCGCTGGCATTCCCAGACATGTTCTCATTGCTGCACACAGCCTGCTTCTTGTTCCAACCCAGGAATGGAATGAGGCCAATGACAAAGGAGAGGATCCATAGGATAGCAATGACTGTTCGGACTCTCTTCCCTGTTACAAGTTCTTTGTATCTGTACAAATGGAAGAGATGAGGGATAAACAATTATTTTTCCTGTGCATACAGTCAGATTAATGTTTGAATCATCACTTGTTAAGGTTCTTTGGATATCCAACCATGTTTCATAACCACTTCTGTGATCACTTCATGGTGAGCCTAGCATTATCCCAGGCAATGCGGTGCACACGACAGGGGATACACCAGACGGGATGCTGGTCTGTCAGAGCACACACTCACATTCCAAGGGTAATTCTGAGATGCCAGTTCCCTACACAAACATGGTGAAAATGCAGAAACGCCACCCATACCAAACAAACCCGCAAGCCTGAACATGGGGGGCTGCTGTCAGCTCATCCCACGCAATATGAATATTTTTCTGACCACTTTTCCTTCTGATGTCTGGCTGGATGCTTTTTCTTTTCCATTACAGTCTTGGTGATGTGGAATCCCTCTTACATAATGCTAAGTGTTTCAGTCACTAAAGCAGAGTTACTGAAATTGTGCTCCTGCAGCTCATAATTTATTTGGGGTTTTGTTCCACCAAATGTCCCCATTACATCCTTCAGCCAGTCTCCACAATTTATCTGACTATTCTTTTGCTTTACATGCAAAGGCTATGTGGTTTCTAATGTGTGATTTATTCTCTGTTGAGAGGCATTCCTTTCAAGGCCAAGGTACAGTAGCTCTAGAAGTCAATAGATACATGATTATTACTGTTGGTTTTAGATCATTGCTGTTTAACCAGTGTGACCAAAACTACTCTTTATTCTTCATCACCTCTGCTGTTGATATTTGGCTAAGTCTCAGTGGGTTCTCCGATCTTCCAGAATCTGGCAAATTTGATAGAAGACTAGGAAGCTCAGGGACCAGGGTTGGATTGTTTTTTTCTGTATGAAGGTGGTTAGGGTTAGATACCAAACACTGCCCCCAACCCAATCTGAACTGTGATCTAAGCAGCCAAGCTCAATCTATACTTCAGAGGGAATACATCTGAATAGCAAAGAGAAGGACAGTTTCAGACACTCAAAGTATTTCACAGATTATTTTCAAATTTTGCTGAGGCATTTTTTGGATGATGAACTGCTCAAATTTCGAGACAAATCACCCCAAAATTGAAGCAACACTACTTAGTAGCAGCAAGGGTGACTTAAGACATTTGACCTTGTGAATACAATGTCAAAAAGTATTTGATGGATCTTATTACTTCACAGACACAATTTATGAATTACGCTCTATTTCTGATTTCATTTTGAAACAATTTGCACAAAAACTGAACCAACACTGCTTAATGGCAGCAAAGGGAAAGGTAACTCTAAAGGGTATATTTGACCTTATCAACATAACTCAAAAAGTATTTGATCTTATGGTCTTGGATTTTATCTGATTACCATTTCACAAAAAAACACAATTTCATTTTGCAAAATTGAAGGAGCAGTGCTAGGTGGCAACAAAGGATGGAAAGGGCAGCTGAAAATGATCTTGCGAACACAGTAAATATAAAAGTATTCCATGGATCTTTTTCAAACTTCCCAAGAACATTGTACAGGTGAGTGGTTCTCAAACTGTGGGGTGCCAAACTGCAAAATGATTTTTTTGAATATGCTTTAAAAACAGTTTTTTTTTCCCCATTACAGTCCAGCAGAATGTATTGGTAGCAGCCGATACACCAACCCTAGTCAGAGGTGGCACACAAAAAGAACAGGCAGTGATCTGGTGAGCACATCCGATTACACTGAGACAAGTCATACAAAGCTGAGCCTTTAATAAATGTTTTCAGTACAACATGGTATTTCTGCTTGCCAAATCTTATCGTGGGGAACCCCCTGCCAAGATTTCAAAATACCAGAATAGTTGTGTTATTTTTCTGCAAATAACATATATTGTGGTATAATGTGTGGACAGTATGAAAAATTAGACACCAACAAGCCTAGTGTAGGGCGGCTAGAGATTGAGGTTGGGGGTGTGGGAGGAGTAGGGATTAGATGGGGGTAAGGAGTGATGGAGCCGTCCAGGGAATACATTGTTGTTCCAAACAGCATCTAGTTACCAGGATGAGATGTTTCAGATTGATACAACACCAATATGAGTGCCACCAAAAGGTTACATATGTTGACAAGTTTATGCTACATTATACTACAAATATGATACATTATACAGACTGTCAGCATGTAGTCACATTCCATTACCATACATAACAGCAGAGAGACAGAAATTCCCTGACAGGATGAACAAAGGATAATGTTGCGTTATTTGTGTAATTAACAGTATAAAGAAATGAAGAACTGAGGGTTTTGGTTTCCCCTGGGTTGCAGTGTGCAGTTGCCACAGGTTTCATTTTAAAGGAAACACCATGGTGAAACACCACTACTACATCACAGTACTACTACATAGTAGTCTGGAGACTACTTCTTGTTGGCATTTAATTTTAGAAAGATCTGAGGCTTGAATTATTGTACCTAAACCTGAAGATGACCAGCACAGAACGATGGACTGAAGGAGCAGGTAGGAGAGGGACATAATCTAGTGTCTCCAAACTGATCCTGTAGTACAGTTAAAACTGTGTGATAATGCTCAGTGTTGGCATTAAAATTATGGCCATCAGGAGAACCACAAAAATATTCCCTGCCGATAGAATAGACACCTGTGGGAAATAACCACCTGACAGCAACTCTATGATGTATTAACCAGTGAAGTGTTTTTCAAGTCAAGCGGTCCTCCCTGATCTCTGCTTGAGACAGAATCTAAGAGTATGACAAAGATCAAGTGTTTTGTCTTATCAAGACATTTGACTACAAAATGTACTCAGCAGTGGCAGCTTGCTTAGCTAGCAATTACATTTATCCAGCTGTGTTTGCTTGACCAATTCTGGGTTTGATGCAGACAAACACACCATGTGATACCCTGAGACTAGGCATGACTTGTTTTGTTCCCACTACAGTTTCTATCATTAGAACCAACATTAATTTCGTTCATAAACACTGTGCCAATTTCCTTTAAGTGTGGGAGCAGTAGTCGTGATTAGGTATTAAACATTCAGATGGGCCCTACGGAAAGGCCAGTCCCTGACCAAGAAAGCGAAACTCAATGGAAGGACTGATCCGGTGTTTTTTGTCAGGCTCCACTGAGATTCATGTGCCAAGACCGGATCTGTGTTTGTGACGGTCATGGGGAGAGCTGTGCTTGTGTGACCTAATGCTGAATTATTCACCCTTTCTCTTTTGTCATGACGGCCCACCTCTTTCAGGCAGACTATCTCACCCGTTAATTTCGAGGCCTCTCCGGCCGTCCTGCTGTGTGCAGACGTGATAGGGCAGCCTTCTGCAAGGCTTTGGGGAAATCGAACTGGAGCCGCTGCCTAGCTGTTAATAACAAGTGCGGACAGGCCTTTAATGAAGCTGCCGGAATTCTCTGTGGGCCATGAATGGGCTGAATGGATGAATCCTGGCACAACAGCAGCACTCCAGTGTCCCTCTCTCCCCCCTTCCCCACCCCCCGTTCCAGTCCTATAATCCTGTCTGTGACTGCGCTGCTTCCTCCAGAGTCGCAACCTTTGCTAGGCGGCGAAAAAAAAAAACGGCAGGCACATTACGCATGCCAAGTGGGGCTCTCCCGGCCCTCAATGATAGCTGCGAGACTATGGAACATGTTAGCATTAAGCACAGCATGTTTCCTCGGTGCCACTCTGGCCAGCCAAGTGTACAAATACAATAAAGGTCTTCACCCATTTTACAACCTGCAAAATGTTAACCATTCAGACATCCAGCAGCTACTTCCTGAGCACTGGCTGAAAGATCTGAAGCTGAACTAATTGCTTGCCAGAGATTTTTCACAAAGGCTAAAGAAGCCACCTGTGTCTGCTGCCCCCAGTATGCAAAGAAGGTAAACCTGCATCCAGATCATGTGCGGTCACTTTAAGTCCCGGGCCAAAGCCCATGTAATGATTTGAGCGGTCTGAAGGACAACAATCCCGAGGGCTTCAGCAGAAGCACTAATGGGAATTTATTTGAAGTCTGCACACTTATCCCAGATTGGCAAAGTATCCATTCTGTCAGATGCTGTTGTAGGAGCCCAAAAGAAGGCACAGTTCAGACTTTGTGGCTGAATGAAAAGACCAGGGGCCTGGGAAAAAGACCCCCCCAACCCTGGTTCTCCCGGCGACTCCACTTTTCAATAAATACCCTCCATGTTTATATTCACTGGAATGGTAATAAGGGGTCATAGTGTGTTAAAAACTTAGCAAGTGAAAAACAGAATACAGCAGTAGGCACTATCACTAACCTCTACTTACATTTTACATTTTATGTAACAGATGCTTTTATCCAAAGCATCATACAATAAAGAAAGCAGAGTCATGTCTCATTTTCACCAACACAGCGCCAGGGCTTTTTCCTAATCCGGAACTGGTTCTGCACATTTCGTGAAAAAACAGCTCCAGCACAGCACCACAGAAAAGGTGGATGGGCTGTCACATCCAAATCTGCCACATGCCTGAAAAATTCAACCCGTAACCGATATTTTTGTTTAATGTCACTGGTGTCAGCAGAGAAACAGCAGAGAAACAACTTGCCAGTTTATTAGCAGAATAACGTCACATCATTTTCTTATTCTGTGGAAAATGAAAGATCGATCCGCTGGCCAGATTTAATAATAAATTATGTCGCAGGTCGAATAAATAAAATATTGTGGTGCTCGAGTGGCGAAGAGATCAGACAGCTTTTAGCAGACTTATTGCACGATCTTTAAAAGGACAGCAGTACAACAAGGAACAAGAATAAACTCACTCACACGCAGACTAGGAATTCCAAAAACTGAATTCATATGAACCTTTTCTTCACTCTCACTTCCACCTATATGACATTTCCATTCTGTTCTTTCTTTGAAATCAGTGGAAATGTGGGCAGCTTCTCCAAAGGCACCAAGCGAGAACCAGCCCAGCACTGGCTGGCTCTGTGTTGGTGGAAATGAGGCATCAGACTGTCCCTAGAGTAACTGGGGTACAGGCCTTGCTCAAGT